CCACAACTCAGGGCTCTGTCACCTAGCCTTTATGAAGGGCTGCTAGGGAAGTCACATTGCATACTTCCTACTGCAGCACAGTAAGTTCTCACTTAATGACACTAATAGGTTCTTGGAACTGCAGCGAAACAACGTATTATGAAACCAGTTTCACTATAGGTTAGTTGCTATAAACAAGTTGGCATCTCATCAATGTTATAACAAAATGATGTTGAACAAAATGACATTATTCAGGGACCTGCTGCACTTCTTCTGAGTCTGTGATTCTGGTTAGGTCTGGCCTCTGGGCACTGCAGCCCTATGTCTCCCACTGCAATGGGTATCATGGGGGCTGAAACCTGGCCCTCACCCTAGGGCACATAAAAGAGCTGGCAGTGGTAGGAAGTCAGGATAGTGAAGACCTGGAAGACAGGTGTTGGTAGAGCAAATCAGGGGACATGTATAAATGGGGTATAGTACAGTCGATATATGTTCATCGGTGGATTTGTCAATGTGTGTTAATATTTTGAACTGGCGTGAAGGCAGCTGCTGGGGTCCAACCCCAGTAGGTCCAGGGGTCCCCAAAGGTGTGGACGGAGTCGGCGAAGAAGGAATGACACAGAGACAGCATTCAGTTGATCAGCAGCCTAGCCAGGATCTCTAGCCAGGATCTCCAGCCAAGTTCTATTCAGGATCTCCAGCGAAGTTCTGGTTAGGATCTCCAGCCAGGTTCTGTGTCCATGTTCTCTTGCTAGGTTCTCCAGCCAGGTTCTCCAGGTTCTCCAGCCAGGTTCTGTAGCCATGTTCCCTCGCTAGGTTCTCCAGCCAGGTTCTGTCCAGGTTCTCCAGCCAGGTTCAGTCACCAGGTTCTAGTCAGGTTCTCTTGCCATGTTCTATCCAGGTTCTGTAGCCAGGTTCTGTCTCTAGGTTCTTCAGCCAGGTTCTCTTGCTAGGTTCTGTCTCTAGGTTCTGTGGCCAGTTTCTGTCCAGGATCTTTTGCCATGTTCTCTCGCTAGGTTCTGTCTCTAGGTTCTGTGTAGGTTCTGTGTCTAGATTCTGTGTCTAGGTTCTGTGTCTAGGTTCTGTAGCCAGTTTCTGTCCAGGATCTTTTGCCATGTTCTCTCCAGCGAAGTTCTTCTGTCTCTAGGTTCTGTGTCCTGTTGTCTTGTTACATCTGTATTTATACCAGTTGATTCCAATCCTATCAATCTCTATTCCAAAGGTTAGGGTGTTTCTTATCTCCATTCCAGGGAGTAAAGATCATGTAGCTTAAGCATGATTGTTCGTAGTTAAAGTGATTAATTACCCGCCTGGCACTTAGTTAAGGGGTTTTATTCCCTCCCTAACTTCAGGGAAAAATCCCTACCTGGGGAAACAACCTTTCTCTGAGAGGTGACCTTCGTTAAAACACATAGCACTAAGGGGAGCAAACATATTAAGAACAGTATGCTATATACGCCAGGTCCCTTGAAACAGCAAGGATGGACCGGCTTCTGGCAGGCAGCATAACATGGTGTTTAATGCTTGCACTCTGCAGTAAGACTTGGATTTGAATCCCAGCTCTGCTACTTACCAGCAGTACCACTGGGAAAGCTACTTAACCTCATATGTAAAATGGGGATCACAGTGGTACCTTCTTCATTTGTTATGAAGAGTAAAGGAGATAAGGTCTATAAGGTGATTATAAGAGTGCTTGACACTCAGAAGTATTTAGCAAGTGTTGACAGTTATTACTATTAATTTTTGGCAGTACTTCTAAAGGTACATTACATAGCCACTTAATTTGGCAAAACTTCATTCAAATTTCCTTTTATTCTGTTTAATAAGGCTAAATAATAACCCCCATCACTTTCTGAATATTAGCTATATATCAGGAACTATGAATTCAGCATTCAACGCCACATAACACTCTGAGAAAGGTGTCTTCATTTTCCAAAGAGTAACTCAAGGTTTAGAGAGCGATGCAATATCTTCAAGACTATAAGTAGCTGAAGATTTTTAAAAGTTTACTTGCATTTTATATCACTCAAGGTCCCTGTAGAAAACTTAAGGCACATTGAAACTGGGTAATTGAGGGATGTTTAAAAAGTTGTGGGTAGGGCAACCAATATCATCATGTCAACCAATATTTTTTTTGTTAGAATGGTGTTTTTGGAAACCAACAGAGATGGGACAGAACCCTAGGGTTAACAATAGTTGAAAGCTGTAATCGTAGTCCTTAATAAGAAGGTGGCTGGAGAAAGAGACTGTCAAGCATTCACAGGACAGGTTACTTTATGTACCTAATTACCAAGCCCATCTCTGAAGTTAGATGACCTTTGGTAGGCATGTCTGAGGATATATATATATATATATATATATATATATCTTTAAATTTTCTTTCCATTCTGAGAAGTCCATCCATATACCTCTTCCCTGTCCTCCTTGTTATTAATTTTTTTAATCTTAGTTTTTCTAAGTCTTTGAATAGCCAGTCAACTTATTAGTAATTCACCTTAGTGTAGATCCTTATTTTAGGCCATCTCTCAAAGAAAGTGGACAACCAGGTTGTAACCTGAAGTTAGGCCCTCTCAGTGGATGGATTACCCTTCATCAATGTCTTTGTAGGTCACCCATATATAGGCGGCTATTAACTTCTAGCTGGTGCTATCATGCTATGCAGATCCATCTGTAAGTCAGTCCTAAGCTTTTACTGCTTCCATTAACTGGTCAGAGGGAACTCCTTATGAGGCCATAAGTATGGATTAAAGGCACTATGGTAAAGTAGTAGGAGCTGGTAGGAGTGTAAGCCACCAGCTTGAGCACTTTCCTTGTGCCTTTTATGGACTTGCTTGGATATAGTCCTGTCTACACATTTTTGTTTTGTAATGGACTCCTGCTGTGCAATTTAGTTTTATGATAATGTGGGTAAGATGATATCCAGTTCATGGTGGGCAGTACTCAGTTTCTACCAGGGCCTAGTAGCAATCCAGGTATTGCTTTTCAAGTAGAGAATTGTTGGTAGAAGTTTCTTCCATTGAAACCTCTCCGAGGTTCCATGTATGAGAGATAAGGCCCAAGTGACAGGACAACTAGTACTACAGCTGGACCTACCACAGAGTCTTATCTTGCTCCAGGCCCCCTACTTAATGGGTATGACCAAAAGTAGACTGTGTTGACTCTAAAATCACTGTGCCTCTTTCATTGTGACAGGTTGTATAAGGAGAAGCAACTTATCTCCTTTATAGGTGATTTCCCAAGATACTCAAGATCACTGGACCCCTAGAAACCTAAATGATGAATAGGGGCCTGAGTCTTCTTGCTTATCTCTCACGCTATGGGATGCATCTATCTTCCTTACTTCCCATGTCTACTGGGTCCAGTTACTATAGTGTCATGATTATACTGTCAGCATGCTACTCTGTGGGAAATCAAGATGATCAAGGACTTCACAGACTCTATTATGGCAGAGAACAAGAGAGCTGACATAACCCTGAGAATACTCAGGTGTACTGCTGTCCCTGCATGTGAAGGCAAATGGCTTCTGATAATCTATGCTGATAAGGATAGGTTAAACAATTTTGTTAAGCCCAGGTGCCAGAGGTTCTATTTATTTAACCACATGAAGGTACTATATCCAGAACCACAGCTGTGATTAGAATCATTATCTGATTGGAATAGAGTATGGAGTGTCTGCCTTCTCCAGCAAGAGAATATGGAGTGTCTGCCTTCTCAGAGAGATTTGGGGTTCAAAATTCTCAGTTTTGTCTGTCTCTATCCAAATGTCCATTTCTATTTCTCAGGGTCCCATTTAGTATTTGTGAGCTTGGTCCACAGCCATATATGCACTGAAATTTCAGGAGGTGACCAACTATTTTAGCTTCTTTCAAGGCTTTCTGATTTTGCACCTGTGCCTGAGTTGAAAACCAAGCTTTCAATTTATTCTCCCTTCCATCTACTCTTTCTAGGATAATTAATAATATCAGCTGGCCTACAATATTTATAATCACTGTTATCACATGGTGACCAAACTCCGCAGCTATTTACTCTCACAAAACCTTGCTCTCCACTTGTACTGTGTGATAATTGGAATTATGGTGATGTCACTGAATCCACGGGGATTACCAGAATCCCAAGGAGGTTATTATGTACTCCTCAAATTTGTGATCTGTTGTATCCCAGAACTTCATTTTAGTTTTCTATGTCTTGGGACCAATTCTGGTATCAATTACAGTCTCGTTCAGGGTCCCAGAGTGAACCAAATTGCACATTCAAATCAAGTAATTAAGGTGAGTTAATAAAGGGGCCATGTACAAAGATGTAGGTAGGGTTTAAAGAAGGGATGGTGTAATACTCCAGGGGTAGCAACATCATGAAGGAGCAAATGGAGGGAATAGTTACCAGAACTAGAGCAGTTGTATGGAAAGGACCCCTAAATAGAACCTATAGCTTTTAATAAGATTTGGGCAGCCCACAGTCCACCAGGGGAGGAGTAAATACTCTCCTTCTACCTTCCAGTCTCCTGCTAAGGCTCCCATTGACTGAACCCAATCTTAAACCAGAAGAAGTGATAGTTCAGCCTTGGGGGCACAGAATGGAATATTGATAGTTGGAGAGGAGATTGAAGGATTAAATGAAAATGTCCAGCACAGCTCTGGCTGGTTTCATTCAGTGGTTAGAGCATCAGCCCATTGACTAAAGGATTGAGAGCTCGATTCTGGTCAGAGGCATGTACTTCAGTTTCAGCCTCGATCCTCAGCCCTGGTTAGGGTGCTAATGGGAGGCAACCAATCGATGTGTCTCTCTTGCATCAATGTTTCTCTCTCTGTGTCTCTCCCTCTCCCTTCTACTGTCTCTAAAAATCAATGGAAAAAATATTATTGGGTGAGGGTTAAGAACCACAAAAAGTCCAGCACAGCTCTAAATCCCGTGCTTCTCATCACCATATATAAAGATATTAGCCTGAATCTATTTCTTGTAATATCTGTAGAAATAGGAAATCTAGGAGAATTTCATGATTATTTTGTTTTATCACTCCAGGATTTCATTGTTCCTGTTGAGATTAGAGAACCCAATTCCATGGAGGCATCCACTGACCATCCAGATGACAGTCACCACAAAGAGTTTCAAGGTTGGTGATACCTACATTTACTAATTTTTTAAGGTACACGTGTTTCATGCACATTTTATGTATTAAAATATTTAAATAATAAAATTATGATATTAAGAACACAAGTGACAACAGCCTTTTATTCATTTTATGACTGTTCAGTCATATATTCAATAAATTCCTATGGAATTGACTATTGCGAACAAACAATCAAAATAATCAAAATTCATGAATTTCACATTCTAGTGGGGGAGTCAGAGAAAGGCAGAAGGTAGATTATACAGTAAGGAGTTTGTACTCTATTTGTGGTAAAATATAAAGTTATTGGAGGATTTAAGGAAGAGAGTAATATGATCTGATATATGTTGAATGTTTTTAAATTAATGTTTAAAACTATCTGCTATCTGGAGAATAAACTATGGTGGAGAAAGGATGGAAATAGGACTCATTTAGGAAACTTAGAAAAGAAATGATGGTGTTTTGAACTAATATGTTAAAAGAGGAGGCACAGAGAAAAGGATGTTTGATGGGTTTTGGACATAGAACTAACATAATTTGCTAATGAGTTGCACCTAAAGAGGAAAGGAAAGAATTGAGGATAACTTCTATCCGCCTGTGTGGTCAACTGGATGATTGGTGATGCCAGTAATAGATACTAGGAAAGCTGTAGAAAGGGAATATGGGGATTCCAGGGTGGGACATCAGGATTCTATTTTGGATATGTTAGGTTTGATATCCATGTGAAGATGTCTACTAGGTAGTTGGTAATAGAAACCTGGCATTCAGAAGAGAGGGCATGGTTGTATATGTAAATACTAGAGGCCCGGTGCACAAAAATTTGTGCCCTCTCACAGTCTGGGACCCCTCGGGAGATAACCACCTGCTGGCTTAGGCCTGCTCCCCGGGTGGCAGATGGCAGGCCCGATCCCTCTGTGCCTGCCCTGCCTCCCCAGGTCGTGCCCACGGCAGGGCCGATCCGGGGGTTGGGGCGCCACCCTGGGTCGGGTCGCACACGGGATGCCCAGGCGGGCTGGCCGATCACTGCTGCCCCACCCGGCCGCCCCGGGTTGGGTCGCACATGGACGCCCGCTGCCCCGGATCGCAGATAGCAGCCCCAGATGGCAGCAGGGCAGGCGGGATGGTGCTGTCCCGCCCCACTGCCCCAGGTCACAGATAGCAGGCCCAGATGGCAGCGGGGCAGGCGGGATGGCACTGTCCCGCCCTGCCTGCAGTTTGCAAATTAGCCGCCATCTTTTTTTGGCTGTTAATTTTCATATCATGCTGATTAGCCAATGGGAGGTGTAGCGAAGGTACGGTCAATTACCATGTTTGTCTATTATTATATAGGATGGGAGTCATGAGTATAAAGACAGTATTTAAATTTATGGGACAGGATGAGTTATGCATGGAAAAGTGTAAAATAGAGAAGAAGACCCAGAAGCTCAACCTTTACAAAATGGGCAGAAGAGGCAGAGCCAGAAAGGAGACTGAAAGGGATAAGAGTGGTAAAACAGGGGAATTTGGCGTTCTAGAAGCAGATTCAGGAATGTGGAGCAGATAGAAATTCAATTGCAGATTAAGGCTATTGTGGAGAAAATGAGTACACACTCTTCATAATTTTTACTGTGAATGGAACAGAGGAATGGAGACATAAATAATTTAATCTTTTTTTTTCTCTCTGTAAATTCAGTGTTTAAAGATGATACTTTTTATAACATTTAGCTTTTGCTACAAAACAAACCACCCCAAAATCAGTAGCTTAAAATATATATTTTAAAAAATATAAATTTTTATAATTTCTTATTATTTGACTGGCTGTTCTAGTCTGGGTAAGCTTGGCTGAGGTTGCCTTATCTCAGATGACCTCTTTCATGTGCTTGGTTATTGGCTCTATGTCAGGTAAGGCAGGGGATGACTTGGCCGTGTGTCCCTCATCACCCAACAGACTAGCCTGGGCTCATTCACCTGGTCATGATTATGGAGCTCCCAAGCACAATGCACAAATACTTTTTAGATCTATGCTTTTTCTATTGTCCCATTAACCAAAGCAAGTCACATGGGCAAGCCAAGAGTCGGTGTGGGAGGGAAATGCTCAAGGGCAGAGAGACGGAGGAAGTTATTGCAGTCCTTTTTTGCAAATAATCTCTTATAACTATTAATGTATTTCTAATTATGTGAATTCATCCTTCAAGTTTCTCATGTTAGAAACCTCAGTTATTTTCTATCTCTTTTTTCTCTCCTAGTGTAAAATAGGAAAATATTTAATTAGCTAAGTAAAAATGTATTTTGTAGGAAATCATTTTCTCTCAGCACTTTAATAATCAAAATATTAATATAAACTTAGCCCACAGATCCATTACTGTTTTAATTAGTTATTTTCAGAAACTGGAGAGAAATAATATAATTGGCAAACTAAAATGTGAAATTTATTTAAGTCCCTTATAACAAAATGTGGCTTAATAGCCCAGTAATACATTTCATTTTATTTGTTTTCTTACAAATATGCAAAGACATAATCAGCAAAAAGTGGTAATATTTAAAAACTTAGAAAAATATTAAGTGGCACTCCTCTTAGATGATTGTGTCTATGTTTCTTATCTGAAATTGGCAGCAAATGAAATTAAATGGTTTTCCAATTGACTGCATTATTAATCCACCTTCTTTCAGCAAATTGACTGATCTTTGTCATTGCTGCCTCCCAAGTAGGTCACTTGTATTGAGTGGAGTATTTTTAAAAAAATTGATCTTAGAGGTAGGGAGAGAGGGACGGAGGAAGGAAGGAAGAGAGAGAGAGAGAGAGAGAGAGAGAGAGAGAGAGAGAGAGAGAGAGAGAGAAAGAAAGAAACAAACAAACAAACAAACTTGGATGTGAGAAGGAAACATCCATTCGCATGCCCCAACTGGGGACTAAACCCGAAACCTGGGTATGTGCCCTGACCAGGAATTGAACCTGCCACCCTTTGGTTTATGGGATGATGCTCCAACCAACCAAGCCACACTCACCAGGGCCTGAGTGGACTATTGAACTTCCATATGACATTAAAGCTTCCTACAACCATTGACCTGTAAGGGGCTTTTCAGGAAACACGGAACAGTGATTCTTTCCTGCCGGGAGAGGTGGAATGGGATATAAGCATAGCATTGCAGAAAGACATAATGTTGATCCTCACTCAAATGAGCTTTAAAACAATTCAGTTTATTCATCTGGAAAATAGAAGAGTGTCTTTAAGGTTTTTTTTTCTCTACTTGTGGCTCTCTGAGTCCCAGTGAGCTCTCCTGGTGCAATAGAATTGGCACTCTATTAACCATAGAAATGGAGGCAGGGGCCCTGAACACCCCCAATTTTGGAGCAATTACAATCTAATTAATATACTTACCATTCTGCAGACACAGATCCAAAGTTCAAGTGACACAGTATAATAATAGCAGGATAGAATCCAAAACGTTATGTATACCAAAAGGTTACAGTTCATGACTAATGTTCGTTTTATAATTGAGCACTTTTATGAGCTTTAAATCTTTATTACATACTAGAGGCCCAGTGCACAAAAATCTGTGCACTCGGTGGGGGTGGGAGGGTGGGGGAAGTCCCTCAGCCTGGCCTGTGCCCTCTCACAGTCTGGGACCCCTCGGGGGATGACCATCTGCTGGCTGAGGCCTGTTCCCCAGGGGATTGGTCCCAAGCTGGCAATCAGACATCCCTCTGGCAGTCCGGCAGCCCTCGGGGGATGTCCACTTGCCAGCGGGGAGCATACCTAAGCTGCAGCTGGACATCCTTAGCGCTGCTGAGGAGGCAGGAGAGGCTCCCACCACCACCGCTGTACTGGCAGCCATCAGGCTGGCTTGTGGCTGAGCAGAGCTCCTCCATGTGGGAGCTCACTGACCACCAGAGGGCAGCTCCTGCATTGAGTGTCTACCCCCTGGTGGTCAGTGTGTGTCATAGTGACCAGTCATTCCCAGCCTTTCTGCTGTTAGGGTCAGTTTGCATATTACCCTTTTACTATATAGGATAGAGGCCTGGTGCACGGGTGGGGGCTGGCTGGTTTGCCCTGAATGGTGTCCCGGATCAGGATGGGGGTCCCGCTTGGGTGACTGGCCAGCCTGGATGAGGGGCTGATGGCTGTTTTCAGGCTGCCCTCACCCCCTTTAGGGTAGTGGTCCCCACTTGGGTGCTTGGCCAGCCTGGATGAGGGGCTGATGGATGTTTTCAGGATGCCCACACCCCCTCAGGGTGGGGGTCCCCACTGCAGTGCCTGGCCAGCCTGGATGAGGGGCTAAGGGCTGTTTTCAGGCTGCCCGCACCCCCTCAGGGTGGGGGTCCCCACTGGGGTGCCTGGCAAGCCTGGATGAAGGGCTGATGGCTGTTTTCAGGCGGGCCAAGCCTGCAACTGAAGCTCCCAGTCTTTTTTTTCTCTTTTCTTTTTTTTAATTCTGGGATTTATTTACCTTCTGTAATTGAAACTTTGTTGCGGCTCCAGCTCCGAGGCTGGCTGGCTGAAAGCAGGTATCTGGGGTTTGTTTAGCTCCTATAATTGCAACATTGGAGCTCAGAGCCCAGCCTCGGCAGGCGCAGGCGGGGAACCTTGGCTTTCTCCATCACTGGAGCAAGCAAACCTCATGTTCGCTTCAGCTGCCTGGCTGACGGCTGCCATCTTGGTTGGCAGTTAATTTGCATATCACCCTGATTAGCCAACGGGAAGCATAGCAGAGGTATGGTTAATTACCATGTTTGTCTATTATTAGATAGGATTGACCCCTTCTAGCCTACCCTCTCCCCTCCCTGCCCCAGGCCTTCACCACCCTATTGTTTTTTATGCATATATGCATACAAGTTCTTTGGTTGACTTCTTCCCACACGCCCCCCCCTTCCCTCTGAGAATCGACAGTCTGTTCCATGCTTCCATGTCTCTGGATCTATTTTGTTCTTCCATTTATTTTATTCACTAGATTCCACATGTGGGTGAGATCATGTGATACTTGTCTTTCTCTGACTGGCTTATTTCACTTAGCATAATACTTTCCAGTTCCCTCCATGCTATTGCAAAGGGTAAGAGATCCTTCTTTTTAACTGCTGCATAGTATTCCATGGTATAAATGTAGCACAGCTTTTTTATTCACTCATCTACTGATGGGCACTTGGGCTGTTTCCAGATCTTAGCTACTGTAAATTGCACTGCTATGAACATAGGGATGCATATATTCTTTCTGATTGGTGTTTCAGGTTTCTTAGGATATATTCCCAGAAGTGGGACCACTGGGTCAAATGGCAGTTCCATATTTAATTTTTTGAGAAAACTCCATACTGTTTTCCATAGTGGCTGCACCAGTCTGCATTCCCACCAGCAGTGCACTAGGGTTTCCTTTTCTCAGCAACCTTGCCAGCACTTGCCATTTGTTGATTTGTTGATAGTAGCCATTCTGACAAGTGTGAGATGGTACCTCATTGTTGTTTTAATTTGCATCTTTCTTAATTGAGCCATTTTTAAAAGTTTATCTTTATTGTTGAAAGTATTACAGATGTCTCCTCTCCCCCCTCCATTGACCCCTTCTACCCCACTCCCCTCCCTTAGACCCTCACAGCCCATAATGGAGCCTTGATTGTTTTGGGGTTTTTTTTTCCACCTGTGAGAAAGTGTCTGTGCAGCATCACCTTGTGGCTAAAATGACTGCTTACCCGTTTTCTGAAACCTTTCAGGTCGACCAGATCAGGAGAGTCTCCGTTACTTTGTGGGTCCCAGATCTCTTTGAGAATCCATAACAGTTCCAGGTGCAGTCACTCCTCGACGTAATGTGGAAATGCACATAGATACACCTCATATATGCAAATGATTAAGGAGGCTTCCTAAGTCTCAGGCCCATGGGAAACCCGCTTGTCTGGCTAACCACACTCTCCCCCTCCTATTTCTGACCTGCGTCATCACATAGCTCCTCATTATCTCAACACTCGTTGGCACCCACACCAGTCAAGCCACTCAACTTGAAAGTAAATTTCACATCCCCTTATATTTACCTTCCTCCCTCAGATTTCTCTTTCTCCCTACTCCTCAGGGCTTCTGTGTTGAGGCGTATCTTTGTCAATCTAGTGTCACTTTAAAAGATTTTCGATAGAACCGGGGATTCCTAGTCTCACACTCTTTAAAGGTGAGTCCTAAACTGTGGTCTAAAATACCCCTTCCCTTCCTTCCTCCCTTCCCCCTGATCTTAGAAGCACATAGAGCAAAGAGCCATGTAGTTCCCGAAATTTCATGTGAAACATGTTTTTTCCTGACCACACAGGACCTCTATGATATGGTTGCTCAAAACTCTTCATATTAGCAGCTAAACAAGAGCTGTGGCTTTTGTGGGGAAAGGGGGGTCCATCATGAGTACTCTTAGCTGTACCATAAAACCTGTCTTACAGCAGCTTAAATAAAAACAGGGCTCATTTTTCTCTCATAACAGAAAGTCTGAATGTAGGTGGCTGCTGGCATTGATCCCAGCAACTCAGGTACTTTAGAGCCAGGATCTTTATAATCATTTGAGCTTTTCCTCATATTTGACTCCTTATGGTTTTTTCCCAGCTCTGTTGAGATATAATTGACATAATATTGTGTAAGTGTAAGGCATAAAATGTGATGATTTGATACACTTGCATATTATAATATGATTACCACAGTAGGGTTAGTTTACCTCACATAATTACCTTTTCTTTCTTTTTTTGTGGTGGTGAGAACATTTAAGACATACTACTCTCTTAGCTACTTTCAATACAATACAGTATGCAATATGGTATTGTTAACTACAGTCACCATGCTGTATATTACTAGTAGATCCCCAGAACTTATGCATCTTATAACTGTAAGTTTGTACCCTTTGACTGACATCTCCCCACCCCCTTATTTAAGCTGCTGTAAGACAGGTTTTATATATATAAACACAGATATATATGCACACATTATACATATATAGTTCTAATATTAGTTCTATCAGTATTTTGGTGGAGTCTTTAGGATTTTCTATATATAAAATTATGTCATCTGCAAACAGAAGCAATTTTATTTCTTCCTTTCCAATTTAGATACCTGTTATTTCTTCTTCTTGCCTAATTGCTTTGGCCAAGAATTCTAGTAATATGTTGAATAGAAGGGAGAATGGACACACTTTTCTTGTTCCTGATTTCAGAAGAAAATCTTTCAACCTTTCACCAGTGAGTGTGATGTTAACTGTGGGTTTGTTATATATGTCCTTTACTGCTTTGAGGTACAAAATTCTATGCCCAATTTGTTGAGTGTTTTTTTTTTATATATCATAAAATGATGTTGTATTTTATCAAATGTTTTATTTATTGAGATAATTATTTTTATCTTTCACTCTATTAGTGTGGTATAGCATATTATCATCATTATTAGTAGTAGTATTTTAATTCTACCTGAGGATATGTTTAGAGACAGGAAGGGAGAGAGAGAGGGAAACATCAATGTGAGAGAGAAACATCAATCGTTCACCTCTCATACATGCCTGACCAGGTATCGAACCTGCAACCTTTTAGTATACCAGATGACACTCCAACCAACTGAGCCACTTGGCCAAAACAGCGTATTATTGTTTTATATAAGCTGAATCATCCTTGCAACCCAGGGATAAATCTAACTTGGTCGTGTTGTATAATATTTTTTATGTGCTATTGAAATTCCATTTGCTAATATTTTGTTGAGAATTTTTGCATCTATATTTATCAGGGATATTGGTGTCTAGTTTTCTTCTAGTGTCTTTATCTGACTTTGATATTAGGGTAATTCTGGCCTGGTAAAATTAGATCGGAAGTGTTCATTCTTCTTCAGTTTTTGGAAAAGAGTTTGAGACGACTTGGTATTTTTTTTAAGTCTTGGTACAGTTTGCCAGTGAATCTATCTGATCCTGAGGTTTTCTGTGTTGGGAGATTTTTAATTTAATCAGTAATCTCCTTACTCATTATTGGTCTGTTCAGATTTTCTATTTCTTCATTATTCAATCTTGGTAGGTTATATGTTTCTAGGAATTTATTCATTTCTTCTAAGTTATCTAATTTGTTGGCACATAATTGTTCATAGTAGTCCTTTATGATTCTTTTTTCAGTTGTAATATCTCTTTCATTTCTGGTTTCAATTCTTCTCTTTTTTTCCTTAGACTAGCTAAAGTTTTATCGATTTTATGTTTTTGAAAAACCAGTTTTTAGTTTCATTGATTTCTTAAAAAATGTTTCTGGTCTCTATTTCATTTATTTACACTCTGATTTTTTTATTTTTTTCCTTCTGCTAACTCTGGGCTTAGTTTGTTCTTTTTTTCTAGTTCCTTCATGTGTAAAGTTAGGTTGTTTGAGATCTTTTTTTATCTTAAAGTAGGCATTTATCACTATAAACTTCCCTCTTAGAACTGCTTTTACTACATCCCATAAGGTTTGGTATGTTTTGTGTCTATTTTCGTTTGTTTCAAGATATTTTTTATTTCTCTTTTGATTTCTTCTTTGACCCATTGTTTGTTCAGTAGTGTATTAATTTCCACATACTTGTGAATCTTCCAGTTTTCTTCTTATTGATTTCTAGTTTCATACCATTATGGTCAAAAAATATACTTGGGATGATTTCCATCTTCTTAAATTTGCTAAGAATTGTTTTGTGGCCTAACATATGATATGTCCCAGAGAATGTTCTGTACGCACTTGAGAAGAATGTATATTCTGCTGCTGTTAGATGGAATATTTTGTATATGTCTGTTAGCTACATTTCATCTAACATATAGTTCAAGTCCAATGTTTTTTTAAATGATTTTTGTCTGGATAATCTACCCATTGTTGAAAGCGGGGGATTGAAATCCTCTACTGTAATTGTATTTTTGTCTGTTTCTCTCTTCAGATCTGAATTTATTTAGGTGCTCAGATGTTGGGTTCATATATATTTATGATTGTTATACCTTCTTGATAAATTGACTTCTTTATCATTATATAATGACTTTCTTTGTCTCCTGTTACCAGTTTTGGCTTAAAGTCTCTTTTGTATAAGTATTGCTACCCTTGCTCTATTTTGGTTTCCACTTGCATGGAATGTCTTTTTTCATTCCTTCACTTTAAAGCTCATGTACGTCCTTAAAGCTGAAGTGAGTTTCTTGAAGGCAGTATATGGTTGTGTCTTTAAAAAAAAAATCCAGCCTGCCACTCTGTGCTTTTTGATGGGATAATGTAATCCACTTACCTTTAGAGTGATTATTGATAAATAAGGACTCACCAATGCCATCTTATTAATTATTTTAGTTTTTATTGGGTCCACGTCCTTGAGGTCAGTTACTGGAAAATTATTGTGATCATTTTGTGGTGTCATGATTCCTTGATTAACCATGTTCCTTGAAGTCTTGCATTGCTGTCATCCCATTTGAAGTAGCCGTAATTTCCTCCAGTCTTTACTAAATGCATTAGTGAGGAAATCCCTTCTATCAGTCTTACTATGGATTCCAGACCTTTTGTTGATACACCTGCTCCATGCTGCTTGCTCCCTCTTGTGGCAAAATTCTTAAGCTTGTATGCCTTCTATTGATCCTGCATTGCATCAGGCTGTGCTGACAGCCTCCCGTTTGCTTTCCAAGGGCAGAGATAAAGCTCAGGTTTATGGTCTGCCCTTTGCCAGAAGATTTGGGTAGGTTTTCTGCACATGTTCACTAGCATTCAGCTAAAGCTTGCTCTTGCCAATCAGGCGCATATAATGTGAAGCCAGCCACAGTGTGTGTGTGTGTGTGTGTGTGTGTGTGTGTGTGTGTGTGTGTGTGTGTGTTGGGGGGGGGCAAGCACAAAGTGCTGGGTGTACCCATGGCCCCATTTGGGAGGGCTTCTTGATGGAGACCTTGACAGTTAGTAGGATCTACATCCTTTTAATGCTCTTATGAGTGTTCTGCCTGCTGCTCTCCCAGTCATGTTTGTTCCACAGTCTCTGCATCTCATGACTCAGCATTCTGGATGGGGTGAGTGAGAGAAATAGGTCTTTCTGGCAGCATCCTGCATAGTTGGGGTACCTAGGTGCTCACTTACACAGTCGCCGCAGGAGAAATCATGGGCCAGAAAGGCCTCTCTTGGTGATAAGCTGTGGAAGGGGTGATGTAGGTAAAATCAAACTGTTCTTCTTACCCTCTCTAATTAACCAAATTATATATATATATAATTTCCAGCAGTATGCTGGAACTTCTCTGTTGGAAACTTGTACTTCCACAAAGGCTTGCTTATTCACAGTGTAAGACTGTTCTCCAGGGCCTCCCAGACCATGGCTGAGAGGGGCTGGAGCTGGTTCATGGGCCGTGCAGTATCCACAGCCAAGACTAAGGTCTGTCTCTTTATTACCTGGAAAGCATTATCTTTAGAACATCCACATCCTAGAAATAAGGGATTTGAGTTTGGGCCTAAATGTTACCTCCATAATTTGTTCTGGGCCAAATAAACTTTCTTATCCAGGTAAATGGTGGTTTAGATAGAGAAGCAGATAGTCTGTGTAATATTTCCCAGATACCCTTCACATGGTTAGTAACTAAGACACTTAGCACAAACTACTATCCTCAGCCTCCCCCTCCCGCCTGCCACACTGACAATAAAGCCAGGTAGAGCCAGGAGCTGGGGGGTTCCTGGCCACTAGAACCAACCAGCCAGCCAAAGTCAAGAACCTCTGAGCTGGAGCATGCTGCTTCTTACATTATGAGCCCAGTTCATTCAAAATGAGGAAATGATGCTAGAATGTTTTTAGGGGAAAAGACATACTAGTATAGTTTTAATATGTACCACAGAGATGACTCTGGTTTTTAAGACTTCCAAATGTCAGTCTTAAGCAAATTAATTAAGTAGAGAATATGTGTCTTTGGGGTATCTGTCCATGTCCTCTAAAAGCCCCATGTGTTCCCTTTTAGCACAATGCTTTCCTTCCTACCCATCCCTATTTGAAATAAAAAAAACAACAACTTTAAGTGTTCTTCCCCCAGCCCCCAATTGTTTGATTTCTTAGAAACAATAATGAATGTCTTACTCCTTCTTCACTTCTCTTGATGCTAAATGCCCTGTCTCTCCCTATCTCTTTCTGGTGCTTGGTCCTCTCTTCTCTCTGGGCTGCACTTCTAGAAGGGGAATGGTGGGAGATTCTTGTGGCCTTAGAGAAGACTGGAGAGACTATGGGAGATGGCTTTTCCCAGCTGAGCTCTGTGTGTACTGCTCTGGGAGCCCTACACTAGACGGAGTGGCCCCTCTTCAATGCTTGTTCTCTAAATTTCAAAGGATATTCTCTTTGGGAAAGAGACTTAGAAAGTATATACTGAAGTATTTAGGTTACAGAGTCACAATGTAGCCAATCACTCTCAAATGGCTCAGTGTACATATATTTATACATATAGTACACATATATGTATGTATATCTATAATAATAAAAGCGTAATATGCTAATTAGACCAGACAACCGAACAACCGTCTGGGCGTCCTTCCTGACAAACTTCCAGACAAAGCCAGGGCTGTGAGGGCCGAGGCAAGCCACCGTGGCTGCGAGGGCTGAGCCCTTTGCACGAATTTTGTGCATTGGGCCTCTAGTATATTTATATATACTGAATTATTTGAGAGTAATAGAGATAATACACACACACACACACACACACACACACACACACACACACTATGTCCTCAATGTCATCAATAGATTCTGTGATGTTAAGAGAAACAAGGTATAACAAAACCAATTTTAGCATAAGCTAATTGATATAAACAAGATTTCTGTGGCATTTCATCAACGTTATAACAAAATGATGTTGAATGAATAAATTGATGTTATTTGAGGACCTGCTCTGTGTGTGTTTGTGTGTCTATATGCATACATACACATATATGGAGAGAGAAAGAGAGAGAGAGAGAGAGAGAGAGAGAGAGAACAAATGATTAAAGCAAATGAGGCAAGATGTTAACAATAAGTGACCAATAACTGACTCTGGATAAAGGGTCAGCTGTTCTATGTACTATTCATACTTGCAACTCTTCTGTATGCTTGAAACTACCTCCAAATAAAATATTAAATGTTAAAACTACTCTTTTTAAGTGAAGTTTTTGTATGCAGTCATCTATTTTTTATACCACACTGCCCACTTTTTGAGGAATTGTGGCTTCTGAGGACCCTGACAGCCCTGAGC